GGAAATTAAAATCCAAACTTCTGCTGAAATGCAACAGAGCACCATGGAATTTACTAATGAAAAGGGTGACTTAAATGTCTAGGTCAGTGTTTTTAAAAAAAGGAAAAAAAAAAACTTGTATAATCTCCTTTTCGTAAAACATGTGAAAGCAGCATTCATCAGTATATACTAATTTTAGCATTTCAACTTTATAACCACATTTACTTACTAAAAAGTTAAATGACAAGAATACAAGTTAACTTTGGGCTCCAAAGTGTTAAAATTTGATGTAATAATGCTTTTGTGTGAGCATTTTGTTATACTCTTTTTTAAAATCAATTTTATTAAAACATGAAATGTAATGCCAATATTTAAGGAAATGTATGAAGCATCTCTACAGAACATTGTTTGAAAACCATTGGTTTAATTGTTTAAGATACTATAAGAACCTGACCATGAGAATGGAGAATTCATAATACCACTTCCCCCTGTCACAACTAACTGATCATTTGAAAATAGATTGTACGTCCTTTCTTCAAACGTGGAAATAGTCTTATCCTTATCATCTAAACATAGTCCCATAAAAATTCCTTGAAGACTGGGTGAAATGAGCTAATGCTCATCCAAACATACTCAAAGAATGGGAGAAGAGAACTCAGTTACAGGAGAGATGTCACATTGCTTCCCTCACATTTCACTTTTCTCCCCTTCATGGAGAGCATAGCCCCCACTGGGTGTAACTTATGCAGAAAAGGTAGTTAGATCATTGAAATTATCATTCTTAAGAATTTGAACTATAAAACATGGAAAAGAGCCTGCCACTTATCATAGAAGCACAAAGGATGTATTGAAATATGTCCACTATAAAATAGAAGTTCAAAATATAATTCCAAAATATAGAGTCCTCTAGGCACTGAGGATCTTTGGAAGCCAGTTGTTAATAAGACAAAAATGATAACTTGGAATTCTGAGTCCTGGTAATGGCACAACATGGGCTGAAATTTCACAAACTTGCAATTGAATCCTGAATTTCTCCAGGAAATCCAGTGCTTTTAGAGTTGCTGGTCTTAGATTTCCATAAGATTTCTTCTGTCATTTCATGTGTATTCCCATAATAAACCTCATACTTGAGCAAGCTTTCTGCTTCTTGCAAGGTAAAGTATCAGATTCATAAATTATAGTATCTCTTACACTCTGCTACAAGAAAATATCACTATGTAGAGTCATTTGCTTTTAAGAATTTGTGTTTGCGTAAAATAAATGTCTACTCTACTTCTAAAAAAAAAATCATCCTATCTCTCATCTTAAACATATGCCAATCTATGGCTGAATTCTACCATTTTGAGAAGAGTAAACAATTGTTGTTGTTTTTTTTTTTTTTTTAAGAAAAGGGTTTCCCAAACAACCACAGCATCAGAATTATACAGTCCAATGCTCTATAAGTCATATAAAAATTAGTGAACCCCTGCTGGAGGGGCACAGTGGATTGAGTGTCATCCTATGGAGTAAGAGGTCCCAGGTTCAATTCCGGTCAGGGCACAGGGCCAGGTTGTGAGCTCAATGCCCAGTAGGAGGCATGCAGGAGGCAGCTGATCAATGTTTCTATCGCTCCCTCTCCCTTGCTCTCTGAAATCAATAAATATATACATATATATTTTTAAAGTGGGAAAAAAGCATGTAAATCTCTGAGTTCATAGATTATATTATTTTTTCTATAAAATACATACTGTATAAAAGTCAAACCAGGACGCTTCAGGAAAATATACATACACAGATCTTGCTCCCTGTGAAAAAAGAAAACATTTGACTTTTCAATCCTCTTTTTAATGAAAGTATTCTAGTAAAAATACATTTGGTTCTCTGGATATTGAATCCTACCATATTTATCATTAAAACCAAGTACTGGTCAACCCAGACATGATTATGCAGTGGGGCTAGAGAATCTCCATGAAACATGCATGATTTATCGGAAAATATGTTTCATGTCTAGATTATGGCACGGTAATGTACACTATTGATAATTTTTTCTAAAAAGCCAAATTGGGTTTGCTATATTTCAAAATATTGTTTCAGTATAATGTAGATATAATCCATTACTAACCAGGTAATTACTTTGTGGCATTTTAGTTCAATGGCAATTGCGATGTACTTATTAAAAATGTAAAATATGAAATATTTATCCATTTATTTTAAAAATTTTTGAGTTCTTACTAAGTACAGATTTGTTCTTCTGTATGTTACATATATTATTATGTGTACGTTTCAGATTTATATACATATATGTATATGTGTATATATAAGCATAAGTAGTAGACCACATTATTATAGCTGGCCTATATTATTCTTGTGTATGTTTGCGTGTGTGTGTTTAGATAGAGCTGTGGTGAATTCAAGAACAGTTCAAAAATAGAGAAAATAGTTGCTTTGAAGAATCCCATAAAGGCCCAACTTCAGTTCTTGTGTAACTATGACAAGTTCAAAGCTAGTGAAATTTGACATAATGAACAGGCAGACTTGAAAATATTTTTTCTACCTCTGGAAATCCTAATACTTAGTCCTGAAAGTTGGTACTGATTTGTTGTGAACACATTCTCATGACATCCATCCTGCCTGTTCTCCTGCATGGGTGGCTTTCACCCCCAGTTCTCTCAGATTATAGTCATGTTTTCCCTCTCTTTGTGGCTAAAATCTGGGTAAGATAGCCATCTGGAGGAGAAGGAAAAATTAATTTGAAACAGGAATTTGTTTGTTTGTTTCCAAAAAGGCTAATAAAAACAGCTGATATTCTCAGAATAGACTTTACTGCTATTACATTAGCATAGGTGACCAAAGTACTTTATTTCTTTTATATTTATATTTGGGGGTCAAAATCTTACTTCTGCAACTTATCTTGAGATCAATTTCAGAATCTCTAAATAGCAAAAGCATATATTTCAGTTTTATTGAGACTTATTTAACATGAGGTATATTTTACGTTAGGTAGAATAAATATATAAATACATTGTTTTCAAATAAAAGAATGAAAATGAGGTAAGAAAAACAGGAGAATATGGCTAGACTGGTTGTTAAGTATCAAATGGCACCAAGGTAAACTACTGTGAATAACTATATTGTGCTGGTATAAAACTCTGGTCCTTACCTCTTCAAGTACTGGAGTAATCATTAAAGCTGGTCCCCAAAGGAATGCTCTGTCAATTCCATGAGTCTGAGGATCTGATGTAAATCTGAATTTTTAGGGTGAAAAATTATTCATTTAATCAAATTAATGTCTTTGCATAGATAACTAAAGTCTTACTCAACCACCTCATGTTCACCAAGAAAACCAAAAAGATAAAAACAGGGAAAGGTTTAGGGGACAAGCAGAGTTTTAGGAATAAAATCTCATCATCTAGTAAAGCAACTGAAATCACTTGTCCTCCTGACCAGAAGATAAATGGGCATTAAAACTGAGGTCAAAACTATGCCAAGCAATCAAATTGTCTTCAGTTTTTGTTGTTCCTTTTTGCATCCTAAACAACTTTTAAGGATTCAGCATCAATCCCATCTCCTTCATAAAACTGTCCATTCCATTTCAAATTGACCCTGCCTTTCTTTGAATTTTTATAGGTCATGCCACATAGTCGCGACATACATATATAATGTTCCATATTATACTCAGTTACTTTCAACTCTGTTAGTTGCAACCTTCCCAGTACTCTGTGGGCAGGGACCATGTTTCATTCTTTTTCTATATTCCACACTTTTTAGACAGCAAGACGCAACTTTTATTTTTGTTAGAAAAATTTTGAGTCTTCTTAATTAAATTCTTTAAATCTGTAAACTACTTCTAATCATAGTCAATGGAGAGAAAAACTTATTTGCATATTTATTTATCCCTCACATAATTCCCTTAGTAGGAGAACCCGGTTCCTAAGATCTATATGATAGAAAATCTAAGACTAGAACAATTATTAAATGTGATTTACTCATGCATCAATCCTCGGACCACTGTATTTCCACTGACATGAGAATGGTAGAAGAGGGTATATAAGTAAGGCAGCAATAAGTATCTAATCCTTAATGCAGAACGGGAAATAGCAGCGAACTCTTCTCCAAATACCCCAGGGTCTTGTTCCTATAAAAGAGAAACATTTCAATAGACCTATTAAATGAAATGGGAAATTTTAAGTGTTACTTTTTTTTCTCTCTCTCTTTAGTGGTTAGAGAGAAACAGAACATTTAAAAAATATTATTTCTTTCAACTTGAAAGCCTTTCACAATAGTAGGTTATTGCAGAGTTGTTTCTCAAATATATTACACTAAAGGCCCAGCACACGAAATTCGTGCACTTGTGGGGGAAGGTCCCTCAGCCCACCTGCGCCCTCTCGCAATCCGGGAGCCCTCAGGGGATGTCTGACTGATGGTTAGGCTCGTTCCTCATGGGAAGTATTAGATTTATCAGGGTGATAATTTAGTGAGTTATATAATGTCTAATCACTAAGTTGTACACCTGAAATTAATATAATATTGTTTGTCAACTGTAATTGAAAAATAATAAATTATTTTATGTAAAAAAATGCATTTTCAAGGACAATTTTAGAGAAGCTATTTCTCCAACATTCATTTTTAGTTATTCTCTCACAGTTTTTTTATAAAATCAATAACATGCCCTGACCGGTTTGGTTCAGTGGATACAGCGTCGGCCTGTGGACTGGAGGGTCCCAAGTTGTACAGGAGGCAGCAGGTGGTTTTTTATCTCTCAATGGTGTCTCTCTCTCTCCCTCTCTCTCCTCCTTTCCCTTTCTCTCTCTAAAAAATCAATAAAACATATTAAAAAATAAAATAAAATCAATAACATAATTTTTTAAAAAAAACAATTATATATTTTGACAACTTCGTTTTAAAAGTTTGATTTAATTCATATTTTTATGATTCTATATGTACTTTCAAATCCCAGTTCTTAAGTACAAGTTAATATGACTACTGCATAGCAGCTACCATTTCACATTAATGCTCACTCACCTTCATCCCAATTGCATTATGGTTTCTGGAAAAGGGATAAAATGCCCCAAGTTGCATCCAACGAAGGCAAAGTTCGTAAGTTGTCTCTTCATTAAACCCACATATATCAGCTCCAATCTGGGGAAAGATTTTTATGACCTCAAAATATATCACTTATTACTTCTGCCAATAAAGCCTGCACTGAAAATTTTAGGACACATTATTTTTAATTTTACTGTGGAATCTAAAGATGGAAAGATCCTCTTTGAGAAAAACATTTGGAATAAAAAAGTGATAATTCCCTCTTGCCCACCTTGATTAAAAAATATACTATGGGCTATATGACAGTATAAGTGCTTTAGGTAATCCAATATTCCGACAAATGCTTCCCCCAGCCCCCCACCCAAGTGCAGTAATATAAAGTCCCTGCCTCAATATGGAAGTTAAAGACGTAGAACATTTAGCTAATCCAAATGCTTAGTGGCTAACCACTCAGGCTGGAGCAAAAGCCTCAGGATTATAGCATCTGATTATGCTCTCCCTTTTATCATATAAAGTTACAGATACTTTGCTTCCTTATATCTAAGGAAGGTCTCTCTAAGTCTCCAAATTGTTTTATTCTGGAACTCTTTTTTTCTCTCAGAAATATTATATTTAACCCCCAAATTCATTTAATGTTGAAGTTTGTAGGCAAAAAACAGCATGAAGAAATAAAGCATGCAGTCATAAAACCTGTGACTTGTAATAAAAATGTTTTACCGTGACCACGGTAAGTGTCTTACTGACACCAACAACTACGGGGGGTGTAATCTACTCTTCTAAAACTCTAAAATTTTCAGTGGAGAAAGACCAGGTCATGCTCCCTTCCTCTATGGGTCTGCTTATATTATGACTTTTGCCTCTGTCAGTTTCTAGTCCAGACAAAACTTGAAGCTGTATTTCACTTTCAATATTTATTTCGCAATTCTTTGAAAGTACCTAATCCATCACTTGAACAACAAATGCAATTCTCACAGAATTTGAGTACACAGCAATTTTACTTGAAGCTTTCCAAAATAAGACAAATATTGCCCTATATGTTATTTTTGTAAAAAGTCATTTGGATATGGGGAATCTGCTACAATAAAACTTTGAAATTTGTTAACATAGCAAATTCTTTCATAGCTAAATTGTTTATCACTAGGGCTCAGATAAGAAAGTATTTTGCTGTGTGTTTGGAACATTTTACTGATTTAATTTCACTTCCTCCCTGAGTGAACTTTCTATTCCTCCTTCCAAATTGTCGGTCCCTTCTTTTTTCACACGTTACCTAGAAAGCTCATAGTAAAAGGTTATAGAAGAATTGTGAATGGGGTGAAGATAGAAGTGAATGACAGAGGAAATAAACTTCTTCAGTTTTACCATGACCAAGTGTCTTACTAACACAAAACAAACAAAAATAATTTAAAAATATGTGGTTCTCTTGAAATCTATATAGGTTGAGGGCAATGCTAAAGTGCCTATCTGAAGCATATTAGTTATACTGTCCTGAAACAATTTGAGTGCATTTTATCTTCACAGAAGTAGATTGGTGCCCCCAAATAATATGGGTTGACAGATAGGCCTTAATTTGATTGAATGTTTAATTTGAAAACTTACATATGGAATTCCAAAGAGATTAAATTCTAGCATTCCAATGATTGACATATGCATATCTCTCCAACGTGAAAAGTTATCGCCCAGCCAATGGCCAGTGTATTTCCCGCTCCCAACAAATGTTGAACGACTCAAAACAAATGCTCGCTTTCCTGTGGCATTCTGAGAAGCACTTTGAGAAAACAAAAGAAACATTTTCTTCAGTAGCGTTCTAAAAGGATACTCCTCCCACCCCGCAAAAAAACCAACACAAAAAACCAACACATGATCTTAAAGTGCATGAACAAGCCCCTATTTCATGTAATTTAAATATTTTATCAAATGTGTAAATCTGTGTGAACATGAAATGGCAGGAATTAAGAAAACAAAAAGAGAACTTGCCATATGTAAACTATTTTACACATTTCATGAAATAACTGTTAAAAGCCATTGCTAACCATCCAAACCAAATTTTCTCATTTAGTGCAAATGTTCTCACACTAAATGTTTCTTATAAGTTATACTACCAGGCAGGTAGTATATGGTTTCTCAACCATGGCTATATATTAGAAATGTCTGAGAACTTTAAAAGAAAAAAAAAAGGAAGGCATCATCGTTGATCAACTAAATCGGACTATCTGGGAATGAGTCTTAGCCATCAACATTTTTTAAAATTCTGCTTTTTTTTTTAATATGTGGCAATGGCTGCTTTTATACTAATGTTGAAAATGCCAGTAGTTGTAGTTTGATACTGATTATATTTCCTTAGTGAAACCTTACATGTATGTAAAAAATAACATATGTGTAGATATTTAGTATCATTATTATAAGTTTTTGTTTTGGTTGTTTTTGTTTGAATTGAACTTGTATGTTTAACCACTTTGGGGGTTTTTCTTTAACATCAAAATCTGGTCTCCACTCTATTTCAACTTCACTTCTAACCTTGATTGCCATTCATAGTCTTTTGGCCTCTTGTATCAAACCATCCTGTAACCTCACTGAAGCTCTGACAGTTGTTTCAATCCACATATGTACAATATACATTATAAAAATTGACTTTTTTACAAAATTGATACATCTCTTTTCATAATGGAAAAATTTGCTAAACTCTAGTGAAATATAAAGCTCCTTGAAGGCAAGGACTTATTTCTGGTAATCTTATTGCTCTACTAGAGGCCCAGTGTGCAAAATTGCATGAGACCCAGACCCACTGTGCCATGAGACCCATCAATGCACCTCCTGGGGACCGGTCGTTTGGTCATTATAGCATTACGGCATTACAGTCACTGGCTTTTTATAATATAGACTAGAGGCCCAATGCACAAAAATCTGTGCACTCGGGGGGTCCCTCAGCCCAGCCTGTGCCCTCTCACAGTCTGGGACCCCTCGGGGGATGTCCACCAGCTGGCTTAGGCCCACTCCCCGGGGGATCGGGCCTAAACTGGCAACCAGACATCCCTCTGGCAGCCCAGGAGCCCTCGGCAGATGTCCACTTGCCAGTGGGGCACATGCCCTTGACCGGAATCGAACCTGAGACCCTTGAGTTCGCAGGCTGACGCTCTATCCACTGAGCCAAACCAGTTAGGGCAAGATGGATATTCTTAATTGCATTCTGTAGGAGTTGGAAAGATTCAAATATAAGATGAGTTACTTAGGCAAAGTCACATAGTTATTCCCTGTTTTCACTCACTTCGAGAATAAGGACTGTGCCAGGCTCTCCCAGTATTTCTTGTCCTGCATTGGAGTTAGAGTTAAAATTGTAGCCAACGGAGAAGTTAGAATTTATTTGGTGCTATGTTTAAGCACTTTAAAATCTAACCTATAAATAAGAAGTTAACTGAAATAGGTTTTGCAATTAAACAGATGTAGTTTAAACTTCGTCTAGCTCGTCATTATAACATGCAACTTTTGAGCATGTTACTTAATGACTATAAAATGGGGCTAATAATGCTTAACTTCTCAGAGTTGTTATAATGTATAAATGAAAATAAGTTACATATGAAAGCACTTCTCACAACCAGCTAGCCCATAACAAGTGCTTAGTAACAGCTCATTTCCTTCCTGTACTTTCTAAACTTGCCTAGCAGTTACAGTCCCTGATCTGCTTCACCCGGGTTAGACAACTTGAATCCCTATTTTAGGCCATTGTTTATCTACCTGGAAATCCATGAATAATCATTTTGTTTCTCAAGGGTAAAATAATGAGTGGGATTTAAATTATTAGATTAAATTGAATGATAGAGGCTGTAGTAATAAATTCAGTAAACACCTTTTATGCCTTCTCTAGATAAAGCTTGCTAATGTTTCCACTTAAAACTATTTTTATGCCTCTGGGAAGTAATTTTCATTGAGTTTCATTAAGTTCAGCATTTGGAAGTCACATTCATTTTTTATCCCTGATGTATGAAAAGTACTCAGAAATATAATTTTACACCGAAGAGGAATACTAGTCTACATTTACTACTCCTTCTTTCTCTCTCCTCTTCCTCCTCCTCCTCCTTCATCTTCTTCTTGCCTAAATTTCTTGATGAGTTAAATACAATTAACAATTTCTTGGGTAAGCTACTAATAGTTATGAGTGGTACATTCTAAAATCTAAAAAGTGATTCCTTGCCTTTTCAATAGAAATTTGAAATGGGTTATTAAATTAAGGGTGAAAAGGGTGAAGGGGCCAAGCAAAGAAAAAAAGCACACAGTGCATAGCCACAGACCGCAGGGTGGATTATCAGAGGGAAAGCGGGGTGGAGGGAGGTAGCAGAAGGGCAAGGGAGGATAAATGGTAATGGAAGGAGACTTGACTTGGGGTGGTAAACACAAAATATAATATATAGATGATGTATTATAGAATTATACAACTGAAGCCTATATAATTTTATT